TATAAGCTTTAAAGACCTTAAAGATAATAATTAAGGCCTAATCTTAGTTTAAATACCTTAAAAGGTAAATTAAAAGGTATTATAATAGCTTCTTATAGCTTATTATTAAAGCTTTTAACTATTAAGGTAATAAAGGTAATTATATATAAGGTTATCTTATTAAGGGCTAAGTTTTATAATCTTTAAAATATAAATAAAATACTAAGTTAATATTATAATATAAAAAGAATTAAATTATAAAAAGAAAGAATTATAAATATATAAAAAGTATTATAAGTAATTAATTAAATAAATATTAATATTTTTTTTTTCCTTGCTATTAGCCTTATACAAGGCCATCGAGCTTTTTAACTTTTCTATAAAGGCTTTAACAGTAAGACCCCTATAGCAGGCCATTATTGCAGAATTTAAAATTATATAAGGTTTATCTGCCTTAATGGCGTAATTACTGCCTTAACCAGGCAGTATTAATACTAGCTGCAGGCCTACTCTTAGTAGTTAGGTTATCCTTCTTTCTTTATCCTACCTAAAGGAATACTACGCCTAGTCTATCTATTATACTTTAAGTATATTCCTAAACTGACTTCTAGTTATACTTACTAATATTAATTATAGCCACTAACACAATACCTACTATATACAATAGCCTACAGCCTAATTCAGGCTATTATATAACTAACTATAATCTTATTAATATAATTAGACTAGTACTAAAGCAAGCTAAGGGCAAAGATTATTATATATTATATAAGGTAATTAAAGCTATTAAAATAAACTTTTCTTTAAGGGGCAAATTAAGCCTAGTTAAGATAGCTATTTTTAAATATAGCCTAATTAGCTTAATTAGTTATATAAATCTAAATTACCTAGGTAATATAATATCTTTAACCTAGCTAGCTAAAGAGTTATTTAGATTAAAGAAGCTAGAAGAAACCTTATAATAAGGCTAATCTCTTAAGCTAAAAGAGGCAGCTTTCCTTACTGTATTTATAGGCCTGAACTTAGCCTAGTATAAAGAGTAGCTTAAGAATATAATTATTAAGGCCAAATAGGTACTTTATATCCTCCCTTTTATATAGAAGTAAGGGCAGGGAGTCTATATATAGTATTCTAAGATAAACGCGGTGTAAAGGCAGGGTTTAGAAATTCTATTAAAGTTAGAATTAAAGGAATTAGGTTAACTTTTATATAAGTTAGTTAGTAAAAGTTAAATTAACCTGAAGTTATAACTAGCTCTATTAATTAAATGCATGTAGTGTAGCATGTGACTAATTGACCTTGCGTATAAGAACAGATCTAGTGAAATTAGTGGAAAAGCAGTGGTTTAAACTAGGAAATATTAATATATAAATAGTAATTAAATTATTAAAAAGTAATAAGTAAAAAAGATTAAAGTATTTAAGTAATTAATATTATAATATATATCCTCTATTTATATTAATAATATATTAATATTTAACTAATTTATTATATATATTATATATTATATTTTATAACCTATTTAACTTTCTTTATATTATTAATACTAATATTATAACTTTAAGTCTTTAACTTTAGGTAAATAAACTTATAAAAGACTTAATATATTTCCTTCTTATTTCTCTAGTTTATAAGAACCCTATAATTACCCCTCTTCTATCTATTACATAATACGCCGTCCCCCTTATCTTCGCGCTCTTATAGTCCATAACTATAACCAACCTGGTTTATATATTATTAAGGCTTAGTCTTCTCTAATACCTTCTTAGCCTACTACTAGATAGCCTTAAGCTACTTATTATATAAGCCGCCTAGGCAAAGGGCCTTAATAAATTCCCTTTCCCTCTGGCTTAGATTTACCTCTCTAAGTAATTTCCCTTCTAGCTAATAAAGCAGCTTTATTTTATAATTAAAAAAGCCTCTATTAATTAGCTAATAATAAGATTATATAAGTAAGAGGATTTTATAATTAAAGGTTATTAATTTAATATAGCTAATATTATCCTTTTTTCCTTAGTTTATTTTAATTTCTATTATTATATTATAAAACTTATTATAATTATCTTTCTTAATAGCTTATTTAATTTTATAAGTTATATTATAGCCTTTTATTAAATAAGGCTTATTAGGATTAAGTGCCTATAGGCTTCTTCTAATAGTAGGTATTATAGTAATAAAGCTATAATACTATTAATAATTATAATTATAAGATATAGGGGAAGTTAAATTAGATTACTTATTCTTAAAGCGTAGTAGATAATATAAGTATATTATAACGGTTAATAATAAAGTGGCCTTTAAAGTAGATTATAAAAAGAAGATTAGGGCTAGCTAAAAAGTAAGTAAGGCCCTTTAGCTAGGTTATATATAGCTATATTTATATTATAATTAAGGCAGCTAATTATAATAATATTACCTTAATAAAGCTTTATTTACTAAGAGGTAATAAATATTTAAATTTTATTAAACTTTAGAGATACTTAGATATACCTTTTAATACTAACTTATAAACTTAAAAAAAAATTATAATATATATAATAAGAATAAGTATAATATAAAAACTTATTAAGTAGTTCTTAAGTTATTTAAGGGGGAATTTAATAAGTAAAAGCTAGCCTTTTTAAATTATAACTTAAGTTTTTAAGCTATAGCTTAAAAAGGTTAAGGAAAGTAACCTACTTACTTATCTAGCCTACTTACTTATTAATTATATTATACTAATTTTAATATTAAAATTAATAAGAAGCTGCTTCTTAATATTATAAGTTATATAAATACTCTTATTATAATTATAAAAAGCTATAAGTATTATAATCTTAGTAGTTATATTATATATACCTTATAATTTTCTCTACTTAACCTATTAACTAGGAGAGGACTAATACTTATAGGATTAATAGTATTTTAAGATTATATTATTTTAGGACTAATAGTAACCTTATATTATATTACTTCTATAGAATTATATTTAATATATATATTATATTTATTTATACTTTTATAAACTTAAGCTTACTAGCTATTAATAAAACTTCTTTATATTAATTAAGCCTAATATATATTAAATCTACTATTAAAAAATATAATACTTTAATAAGCTTAATTATATGCCCTATATAATCTGCTAATAATAAACCTAGTATGGCTTAGTTTAACATAGTTAGACCTAACTATTATGATAAGGGTAAGACTTATATTAAGCCATAGAAGGTTCTTTATCCAGATGGTAATATTAACTCCCTGAAGGATATTATAAATAATAAGTATAACAGTTTCTACCTCCAAACTGCAGAGAAGAATTAAATTGGCTTTGATATGTGTATACCGGGCTATGTTGTAACTGCAGAGGGTCCTCAGGATCCCTCCACTTATTAAGGCTACTGATTGCAGACTGGGATGGGGTTGTATGGGATTAGGCCGAGACCAGAGATTTATATATCATTGCCCTTCTATTTGGTTATTTTAGGAGCTCCCTTTCAATGTTTCTTTATTCTATTTACCAGTGCATAGGAATAAATTAGTTTCTATATTTATTTAATATATAAGCTGGTATCTTCCAACTTGTAAGACTTAAAAGATCTAATAAATTTAATAAATTCACTTCATAAGCAGCTTAGTTATAAGTATTATTCTGTCCTCGTGGCTACGAGGGTCTTAAATGTTTTACACCTAAAAGCTCAGGCAGAGATTGTATGCTGATATTGAGCTCCTTATTATCTTAATATATGCCAGTACTGGAAAAATAAAGAATTTTTTAATTTTCTTATAAAAGTTGAAATAAAGTATTAAAGATAGAAAATTTTCTCCAGTTTTCTAGTGCAAAATCAGTATCAAATACGCTTATGTGAGGACTTATCCTATAGTCAAAGCAGTTGGTGGCCCAGTCTAGAGACGGAAGGGGAATCTACCCAAGATGTTTGACAGTCAGGAGGAAAAGGGAGAAATCCGGAACAGGGGGCTAAATTAGCGTAATGACCAGCCAAAGCTAAGAAATACAAGGGTCTCGTATTGTTGTCCAATTGGAAAGGGGCTGACATAGAAAACGCTCGGTTCGTGTTGCCGAGGTTGGGAATGCAGGAAAGGTGGAGCTTCGAGTTTCACCAATTTCCATCACACGGGCGCAGTGAATAGTTTTTATGGATCCCCAAAGCTCGTTTCTGTCAAGTTGAACCATGGAATGGGGGAGCAATTGCGCTATCATGCAAAATGATTAGAACCCGCTACAACCAAGCTACCGAGAGATCCGAATGCTGGCAAGGTGCTCTTGTGCCTCAGAACCTTTCACGAGGGCGGCCAATCGGGGGTCTGTCGATACGGCGAAGCCCACCATCGGTATACACAAACAGATCGACCCGACTTCACATTCCGATGTTAGAGAAACGCGTCACCTATGCAAGTCTAAGCCATTGATTCATTGATGCCCGGCACACTTGATGACATCAATATGCCTGGAACTTCAATGGCTCGGCTACTTATAGTCAGCGGTATGTCGAAATCACGGTAAGAAATATTTTTTCTATAACTATTTATAGCCCTAAGTATGAATTATCGAATTGATAGCCAAAAGCCCTGTCTTGGTTTATTAATTTTTATTGCCCTCCAGGCACTAAACACCGGACCTTAAAATGGTGAACTATTATCGCTACGAACCCTCGCTTCCTGCATCGATTATTTTCATCGTTATCTTCGCACTCTCATCCGCCCTCCACCTCTTCTAAATTATTAAGACAAGGATATGGTTCTTCTTATCATTCTTTGTTGGATCCCTCTGTACGTCTACTCTCAACCACCCACTTCTGCCAACATCTTAACAGAGGCTGCTCACAGTTGAAGCCGTCGGCTTCATCGGCCGTGCAATTGGCGCTGAACAAGCACCGGACTATACGTTCGGCCCTTATGTCCTACAGACTCTGCTCCTACTTCTCGGGCCCACTTGCTATGCCGCGTTGATCTATATGATCCTAGGGCGCTACATCCGACAGTTGAAAGGGGAGTAGTTTTCACTCATCAGACCCAGTTGGATGACCAAGATCTTTCTACTTGGCGATATAATCTCTATTGCCTTGCAAGGAATTGGTGTGTTTATTATCTTATCTATGATATCACTAACCAAGAGGGCATCTTGACTTACAGTTTGTAGGCGGTGGAAAGCTTGTGAATGCTGATACCCCAGATGACAGAACGACAGGAGAGAATATCATTATCGCCGGCTTGACAGTCCAAGTCTTGTTCTTTGGTCTGTTCATAGCTGTGACGGGACTCTTTCACTTCCGATTTGCTAGGCATTCTACATCACGACCATTTAACTGGCAGAGACTTTTGGTGGTGATCTACGTGGCAAGCGTGCTCGTCCTTATCAGATCGCTCTTCCGTGTGATCGAGTACATTCAGGGACATGACGGAGAGCTTCAATCCAAAGAGGTCTATATCCTTGTCCTTGATCCTATTCCAATGGCGATTGCCAGCGTTGGTCTCAATATCTTCCATCCTTCGAAATACATGAAAAGCACGAGGAAGCCACTCGACAATTCGGATAGCGAGGTCGCATTGAGTGACCCGCAGGGCCACTCGTTGGGAACCGTGGTGAGCAGAAGGCAAGAGGTCCAGGGCTAAGTTAATGGGTTTCATCTGAGTTGCGCTGTCGCTTCTCGGTGGGTAAGTGGTTTGACTTTTCTTTTGCTTGGGTAATCTTGTCTTCCTTTCTTCTGTTTCATTTTTTTGTTCTATGACTGGCACGGGTATGGAGATCACCGGGTTTTGGCACTTTAGGTTGCGCGAAAACAAGGGATAAAAATATGTTTAAACTATCTAAGCATTCAAAGTTTTAATTAAATTTCTTATGCTTAATACAGGGCTGAAATGCTTACCAAATGTTTGATATCCACCAAAACAGCAGGGTCGTATGACCCGAAAGCCTATGCCCTGGTCTGTGTGGAAATTGCAGCTAATGGCAAATTCCCTGCTGGTCTTGATAAGTGTCACAGTCGACTCAATGGCATTTCTTGTTAAGTGCCACAAGGTTTTCGATCAACCGAGGTTCATGCCATCCACAAAAGGCTCCCTGGCGTCGCTGTTCACTTGCTGGTAGATGTTGGTATTATCTGACTTGTCGCTACATACAGAAATGGATGGTGGCTGATATATAAATAAAGTTCAAGGTAGTACATAAGGTTTGACTCGAGCTTGGACGCTTCGCCACACTGAGCGCGGATATTAATTAAAGTGACGTCGGCCAGCCGATAAACAATACCTTTCTTTACCTTCAAATGATCTGTCGGTCGCTACCATTCACCTTTTTGCCTCCCGAGCTCTAGATTCTCTCTCTTGCCCTTGTTCATTTTTCAGAATATCTCGCACCAATACTACTTTCATAAACGTAAACATAACGATAGCACCAATGATTGACGTCAATACCTCATCCGATGCATCCGAGAGCTCAGCTCCCGCACAGCGTCGAGCACATCGCAAGTCAAGAACAGGCTGTAGACCATGCAAAACCAGCCGAATCAAAGTAGTTCTTCCTTAGCTGGAATAAACGCCCGTTGAGCTGACCTATTATAGTGTGACGAGAGTCGCCCGTTCTGTAAGAATTGCATTAGGAAGGAAGCGTTGTGCGAATACTTTGACACAAAGTCTCGGCCAAGAGGCTGTTCAGAAAATAATGTGAAGATCCTTCCAGTGAGTCATCAATCACCGGTTGAAGTTGAACTCATTCCTCCGATATCGCCGGCAAGCAGCAACTTGTCTTCAAGCAATCTGTTTTCCGGGCGTACTGGATCGCCAGCGGAACAGCTCCTTGAACGCCAGCTATTGCATCACTTCGTTCAGATGACGCAGCGGGCAACTGATATTCAAGCCACATGGTCACTCTGGGTTCTAGAGGAGGCTACTCACTCGCCGTGTGTCCTCAATGGGATTCTCGGCATCTCCGCATTTCATCTACGACGGTTCAATGAATCTGACAAAGCGCTTGAGGAGGCTTCGTACGAGTATATGGCTCGTGCAATAGAGGGCCATAGAAAGGATTTGAGAGGTGGTATGGACAAAGGAAACAGCTCGAGCGTTGCTGCAGCCTGCGCGCTCGTCTCTATTTATGCCAACGTGGACGGATACTATCTTGCGGGCGAGAATGACGAAAGGATGCCTCATGACTGGTATATCTCATTTAGGAGGTCTATGAACCTGTTTCGTATGGCATCACCCTTGATCGAAAACCCGACAGTCAGCCAAGAATTCAAGACCATCCAACCAACCATCGATAAAACGACTCATCCCAACCCTTTCAGCTTCATACTATACTATAGCCCAACATCAACGGACGCAAGCCAAGAGGAAATTTCCATCTGCATGCCAGCAGTGGCTTACCTCTCGTATATCTACGCGGAAATGACTACAAGGAAGCCACTTCGCTTCCCCGTCGCCCTATCAGCGAACTTTATAGATCTTATTAAAGCAAAGAATCCTCGGGCTTTGGCTATCAGTGGGTACTTCTTTATGGTGGTAAAGCAGGGGCGGCAACTCTGGTTGATTGATGGTGCGCCAGAACGAGAATTTAATACCATTATGAGATATTTGCCTAGGGATTGGTGGTCGGTTATGGATTGGGCAGTTCGAGTGCTTGGGTGGGTTGATAGGAGGGTTGAATGATAAGATAATACCTTTTCTGAAAGCCAATCAAGTCATATAAGACTGAGATACCTATCAGTAACCATTATACTATATAGATAAAACAGTTAAACTGTCTTTGCTACAAGCCTGCGAGCTATATCTATTTCTCTCTATCAATCCGACAAAGAAAGACGACTTGCCTTTTTATAGCGCAGATTTATCTTCTGTTAGTACCAAGAACTTACCCTGTATATGATTCCACGCTCTGATGTGGCACTCCAGAATAGCTCATTGATTCAATCAGCCTTACCACACCCTCAAAGACGTATATAAGTCGTCAGCTGGATAAAATGGTCGTAGTGGGTGGAACCCGGAGTAGGATGCGTAGATGGAAGACCTTACCCGTTGGCGGACAATGATCGGAGTGTCGGTGTAGTGCTAGCAAGCTCCATAGCAAACGTCTTCGGATTTCATAACGTTCAGATAATAGCAAAAGTAAAGAGCTTATAGATGAGTATTATCAATCCAAACCAATTACTCTTTTCAAGTCGGCACAATGCAAGCTTCCCGAATCGAGATAACTATCATTCATACTATATGAGAGTGTTGCCAGAAAGTATAAATAACAAAGAATACAGCATTCTTTCCATGATTCAAGCACCACACTGTAATGCCCTATCGTTCATACAAACCTTTGTGGTGCTCGGGGTGTTTCCGTCTGAGCAAGCGCTGGACACGACGTCTTGTTATTTGCAACTAAAGCTTGCCAAACAAAGAATCAGCAATGAGGGTATTCTAGTGATTCACTGACCTTGCGGCAAAAGAGAAATACGAGCTATTGATGTATTACATATGGGATAAATTGTGCAAAGAAGTCTTCTTTTAGTTAGAAGGTCGGATAGCGAAATCTGGAGCGACCGGGGTCGAGCGAGTTTACCAAGTCATTACAGCTGGAATTAAACTAATCCGAGTGAGCAAGAGGCTTCGGAGTAACCCCAAATTCCCACACTCCGTTACGCTGTAGAGTTTGCAACTACATAACGCCAGACAAGCCTGATTGCCCATGACCTGGAGGCCACTTCAGTGTCTCGTTCGCACTCCTCAAGTACTACATCTACGTCGACCCGGTCATCTCCGTTCGCGCCGATGCCGCCAAAGCGACCTGCTTGTGATCCGTGCAGGGCAGCAAAGCTCGCTTGTGACCATGGTCAGCCTAAATGTTTACGTTGTCAACAAGCGAACAGGTCAGATGAATGTAGATGTCGCGATGAACCATTGAAAAGGAGAAAGAGGCAGGCTACGATTGAAGTTGCAGAGAATGTGTCGGAGTAAGTTGGCTCTTCTTGTTTATGGCTTGGTAATGCATATTGAATAAACAATGCAGGTTGCAGCAAAACTACACTCATAGCTCTAGCCCAGATGTAAATGTCGAAGGCATGGTTACCAGCCCTCACAAATATCCAAATCCTAGATGGCTCGGTACCTTCAGCCACCAGACACTCTTTGATCACATCCCAACCAGGGACTATGGTACGCCTACAAGCCATGTTTCAGAAGGTAGCTCCCTGGCTAGATACTCGGAAACTGTCCCCACCATGACAAACATGTCTCATGGGCTAAGCTGGTGGACCAAATGCAGCGGCTATTATCGTTATCAATCCTGTTACTCCATGCTTCAACAATGATCGGCCCAAGATACCAACTTGGCGCTAGCAGGCATCTTTGTGGATAAGTGTGTCGAAACTATGCGGCATCTCTTTCCAGAAAATCCTGAAAAATCTATCAATAATGTTAAAACAGCCAAACTACTCTTTGCCAACAGCGTCCGTCCCCTAACCACAGATTCAGCAGCTACTCTAGAAGATTATGCCTCCCAATTCTGCCAGAAAAATGCTTTATGGGAGACTCTCGGTTTATTTCCAACGGCGGTATCAAGAGTAGCTATTGGAATGACTGACGCTCAAGGCTCATGCAAAGCCAACATGACGTGTTGTGGCCTCTCGCGACTAGCCATGCAATTCTCAGATGCATTCCTCGACATTGCGATTTCACATTATTGCTTGAACGATTTTTAAGTCTTGCTGCAATATGAAAAGCTTATTCTTCACTCCAAGGTCGGTGGCGATCAAAATAAGCGAATCATATGTCTCTTACAAGTCTTTATTGACTCTATCATTTCAGACTTCCATTCTTGGAAAAAGCTCGGAGATGTTATAAGTGCTCTACTAGCCCTAGGTTATCATCGACAAACCAATCCAGAACCAACAGTTGCTCCGTTCATAGTGGACCTCAGACGCGCGATATTTGCTCGCGTATACTCGGTTGATAAGAGCGTGTCCATATTCCTAGGCCGTCCTCCAAGGATCAGTCGTAAATATTGCAGGTTTTACCTGCCAGGCCATTCCGTTGATATCACCAGGCCCTTTTCGTTTCAGTACCACAATGGCAGTAAGATGTGACATAATACTATCTATTCGAGACACAATGGACTATGCTGTGCGCGGTGCTCAAAGAGGGTGTTTTGGACCTCTCCAATACCAACTATGGCACTGAAAATGGCCTGAGGGCAGAGTTAGTTTTATTACTTTTTCCATCGAACAGAGGATATTAACTGTTAAATAGAGCTATCCAGCAGCTTGCTGAAGGATTATGGGGCTCCTTACCCCCCAAATTCAAACTTCAAGAGCCTCTCAAGCAAAGCGATCTATCACTAGTCGTCACTGATTTTCTCGTCAGCGCGCCATCGAACTATCTGCACATACTATTCTTACTCCGCCTAGTGTTGACAAGAGGCGAGATGCAAGTGGATTTGAGCTTGGCTTCTCAACGAATCACCCCAGACACGAAACTCCGGCGTCAGTAGATCGAAAGTTTTACAGCATCTCAGCGTACTCGTGGCAGAGATTAAAACAGGGACATTGGTTTAAATGGATGATTCTAACTACAAGCTGTTGATGAGTGCCGCTCAGGCGATTGCAATTTACCTGACCAACTGTTACATGGGACCAGTGAGCGCCAAAGAGGGGATGGTGACATCCTTGAGCCTTCGCTCTGGGCTGATATCCGTAACAAGACCGAATGGAGTCCCTAGGATAATACAGCACTACAAGAGTTCGAGACGGACTTTTGGTTGAATCTAGCTGGACATCCATCATTGACAGGCGCGGAAAACTCTATAGAGAAAGTTTCATGGCAGCCATTATGATGAACTGATTAAAAAAATGAACCAGTTTCTGGACTTAGTCCTACTCCGCCTGCCTTTGAGCCTCGAGGTAGTGAAGTAAAGGACCCTTGGGGAAATCTTCACGACCCAAGAAAATCTCAACCATCCTGAGTTCCTTACCCCTCAACAATCCCTCGTCCTCTAGCACATGCTTCAAATCTCGCCATGTCTTTGCAGACCTAGTATAAATAACCTCCTTGGCGCCAAATAAACCTGGAGCGAGCAAGTTCCGTTGTACTCTTGTTTACGTCCGTGAGTAGACCTATCGATCGGGCACCCGTCGTTGTTGATGACGAAGATGGTTACGTCGAGACTGTGGCGAACAATGCTAGTGATTTCTTGAACAGTCATCTGGAAGCTGCCTTCACCGATGAAGAGGACTGTCTTCGTAGATGGTAGGCCAAAATAGTCACCGGATTCCAAGAGCCCTTTGAGCTAAGGCTGCACCTTGCGTGTCGGGCAGCATACATCAAATGGAGAGCCAAGTTACAGGCGTGGAAAGACGAGCGTGCTGAGGAAGGGGCATATCTCGTACGCGGTAGCCAGCTGTGCCGCTTTCTCCAAGCACGATGTCACCAGGTTGGATGGAGTCGGCTAGAGTGCCCCACAGGTCGTCTTGAGTATGGGCTTGTCGGAAGGGTTAGCAGGGATTTGCAAAAGCGTGTCTCGAGGCAACTGGGGGTAGTTCTCATACGGGAAGACTCGAAAATGATCTAACTCACGAGATAAACCAGAGAGGATTTGTTTGCAGTATACACCGCGATACAACTGTCCCCCAATCTGCACTCCCTTCGTCGTGAAGAGTATTCCAACGTCGCTTTCAGGTTTATTCGAGTAGCCGTGGCTGTTGCTAGAGCTTAAGTGCGGACTGAAGAAGAGGACAAGATCTGAGCTCTCGTAGAAGGCCCTCGTGTCAGTGTCGTCAAAAAAATCCTTGATAAACTCCATGAAAGTTAAGCAATGTTTCATCGGCCAGGCCTTTGCTATAGGGCGTTGTCCAAGTTGACCAACCAGTGAATTTGATGAGGACTTGGACACTTTCACGAATACCTATCGGCCTCGTCTCACCACTGACCACAATAGCTGGCTATTTGAAACTGTATACTTTCTGTAGTACAAGTCGGAAGACTGCGTCAGAAGCTTCATCTTTCTCGCCCTCAGAAGTAACGCTGGGTGATTCCGGTCTGAGGCGTGAGACAGGCTTGACAACCATGTCAACAGGAACCTCGATGTAAACCGGCCGACTGTAGAGAAGATACTGCTTTAATGTCTCGTCGATCTTCTCCGCGCTGGTTCTGGGGTTGTCTAGACCAGCTTGAGTAACTGTTGCATAGGCATGCATGGCTGAGAAGTGGCAGAACTCGCTATCATTGGAAGTATGATGGATCAGGATGCGGTTGCCTTGCACGTCTCGAGCAGGTATTCTAATAATATGTATGAAGGATTAAATTTAGCATAGGCACCTGCAATAGTATTGATGGCTGATAACTCTCTAACACCAAAGGTAGTAATGATGACTCTGATGACCTCGATTCGCGCATAACCGTCCGCTGCGTAAGCAGCATTCAACTTGTTGGTGTTGCCGGCCCATCGTAGCCCTGATGGCTGGATGTAATTTGCAAATCAAAGTTGAACCCGCCGGGGATACCGTGGATGGAACCGACGCCAAGCTGGCGCAAGCGAGTAAAGAGATAGTCGGCAAGCTTGATAAATGTCATTATGTATTGCTTGTATGATGTGACTGCGCAGGGCGTTAGTAGCGAGAAACGTGTTTATATGTTGAACAGCCCGAGTCTTAGGTTTTGTAATGCCATGCAAACTCTCCACATTACCCATCCTGAAACTATGGCCTGAGTCGCTCGTATTGAACTGACATTAGAAAATGGATTCCGGTCAGTCCACTCTAGTTCTCCGTGTTTGGCTTTAGTGCCGGTACTCCACCAAGGTGGCGAGTTTTCTTCCCATGCCTTCGGAGTGACTCGGCGTAGTCATTGTTAGTTGTGCCCGGAGTATCGAAGTAGGGTCTTGCAGAGAGTGCAGGGTAAAGGCCCACGTGCAGCTACTAATCTGCTGTACTGCCAAGAATTAGGGCAAATTGGGGCTCTGTAAGAGGGAAAAGGCAGGATCCTCTTTCTATAAAAGCAAAATACAATGGTTCCGAAAGGTAACGGTTATCCAATCACTTTCGGTTTGGTTTCTCACATAAAGAAACCATCATCTTCGAAATGTTGCAAAGGAAGCTTGATCAACTTGTCAAAAGAAGGGCAGCAGGCGATTGTCTTCCCACCGCTGTTGCACGCTTTACAACCTCAAACTTCTTCAAGTCTCTCGAACGCAACGACAAACTCAAAGCAAAAGACTGCCAGCCTGGCTCAGTCATGAAGCCCGGGGATTGACAGTATCGCCTCTAAAGACAGCCTCGAGAAACTACAAGCACGAAGACATGGTCTCGCAAAGAACCACTTGCCCATCGCCAGAATATTTCCCATGGGGGTCCTTGGAATTGTTATGTCCGCAGAGCACCTCCGTTGGCACTGATATGTCTCTTGCATCGTATTTGAACCTGGGATCTGCCAGAGATGAGACTGATTATGACTTTGCCATTGCCTTGAACTATGGGTTTACAGCTGGCTCTCCTCAAATCCTTCGCTTCATGACGGAACATGTCGAGATTGTTCACAGTCCTACCTATAGCGATTGGGAATGTTGCGCCACCTACAGTACAACTTCTGCTCTAGAAGTCGCACTGCGTATTCTTTGCAACCCGGGAGAAACAGCTCTCATCGAAAGCCACGCCTATTCAGGAACTCTGGCCTGTGCTCGAGCTGTAGGGGTTCACCTTCAGAGTGTCAAGTTGGATGATAATGGGTTGATCCCAGAAGACCATGATCACGTATTGACCACGTGGGATCTTTCCAAGGGCCAAAAGCCCTATGTCTTGTACACGATTCCCACAGGACAGAATCCTACTGGAACGACGTAGGTAGATCTATCGGCTGGCAGAAAAACACAATCTTTACATTTCGGACGAAGAGCCCTACTACTTCATCCAGTACAGCGACATCGCTTCCAGATCCAATGAACTTGATGGCTATCTGAGTATTCTACCTACATCTTATCTGTCTCTCGATGTCTCTGGTCATGTTCACAAAATGAACTCAACTTCCAAGATTCTCGCCACTGGACTCCGCGCCGGCTGAATTACGGCGAGTAACTTGACCATTGACAAGTTCATCTCCTTTTCTGAAGTTGATGCTCTTCATCCCAGTGGACCAACCCAAATCTTGCCGTGAAAACTACTTGTTCTCCGCAGCTTGTGAGAGAAGGGCCGCCGTGGTTGATGAGAGAAACTTTGTAGCCGGGATTGAAGCTTGACAATGTCAACAAAACGCTGCTACTGAATCTCAGCTTATCTGCCTAGTCTAGCAGCCGAAGACTATACGCAGTCCATAGGGTCGAGAATTCGATACTTGCGATTTAGGCATGGTCTCCAGCAAATTGAGTCTCCAATGGGGAGCATCTGAAAATCGAGCCGGCATAATATAGTCGCAGCTAGTGGTGGGTTCAATTTAACAAAGGAGGGAAATTGGGTACAAGAACTTTGACACTCAAAATAGCAAGGTTCTGAATCAGGCAAGGGAAACTTTGCGGTTGTGGCCAAGTGAAGGGCCACACTCTCTCACCGATTGTGCCCTTTGAATGTTTTGCCATCGACTTCGCGTTGACTTGTGGCTATTTTTATTCAGTCCAGGCTAAATCATTTACGCAATCTCAAGTTTCTGGGATCAACTAAAGCAAACAAGAATTTGATGAGTCATGCATGCAGCCAATAGATGGGAGAAAGTTGGCCTAAAGCTGTACTTCTGATAAGGGCTCGTAAACCTTTTTGGCTATATCACAGAACTGTTAGTAATAGAGTTTTGTCATAAGCAATAGGCTATTTCCTTCCAGGTAGCCCTTAGTTATCCTCAACACCTTCAGCCACGGCTGAATTGCCACTTCCAGTCTGGAGAGCTCTAAGGTCTTCGGCGGACTGACACGGCGTGTTGGAGAGTGGAATTACCTTCATGTCTGAGTTAGCTGAAGAACTCCTGATTAATCCTAAAATATATCATAATCACTTACCTTCCAGGCTTCATCAAAGCCAGCAGAGCGTACATACAACGGTCCTGGAATTTCCAACGCGTCAACAACCATATGCTGGATCCTTTCCCAAATCAAATCTCCTTTCAGAATGGCCCATGGCTTATGCTCCCAGTTCTTCATAAGCTCATGGCACAGAGCTGTGGCTCTTGCCTGCTTGATTCCATGTCCGTCGTCTCCGAAGTCTTGCAATCGATTGCCAATTTCTATTGTCAAAACCTGTTAGCAGGTATGTCACGGGATCAGATACCAACCAAGCTATAGCTTTTGCGTGAACTCACCACGAACAGAAGAGGTCGATGGGATCTTGGGTTCGTAAGAAGCAATAGCTTCGGCCGAAATTGAAGGACGTCCCCGCGCAACATATTGAATCAGATCCATTCGAATCTTCCATTCTAACAGCCGTCGCTTGTCCTCTCTGGTTAACCATTCCTGCTGAAGAGTCGTCAAGTACATGACTGCGGAGTTCACGTGGTGCCTATAATTGTTAGCATCATTGAAGTTGGCAGCAAATGAGGAGGCATACTAACATGAGAAAGAAATCAGATTTGACATGATGAGGTGGGTGGATAGCAGCGCTCGACGTAACAAGAACGATGGCATGAAACATCTCTGCCGTACGCTCTTCCAGATCTGCGTCCTCAACGTGGACTTGCTGAAGTAACGAGACCATAGCCTCTTTGGCCCTGTTCAAAATGCCATCTTCGATCTTGTCCTTGTCTTGGAAACGTACAGTTTCATCCAAGCTTGAATCAGAACGGGTCTTTTCGTAGAGATCCAAAAGGGATGGCATGCGGGTTGCAGGTCGAACAGTCTTGGCACAAAGCTCACTACTTAACAGCAGAGCGTCTAGGCCTTCAAGATTGTGGACGCAGGTTTGTGCTAGAGCCTCAGCCACGATGGCAGGTTGCTTCCATTCCAAACCGTATGATAGTTGAATCAGGGGATGCAAGACTCCGGCATGAAGGCGCACCAGTAAGTCATTGGCGGAAGTGCCGCCTTTGAGTAAGTATTCCTTTACTACGCACTCGTATCCATGGTCATCAATCTTTTTCTGAAAATAGGCCAGGAAGTCGGGGTAATGCTCCTCTTTGCCAAGATACTGGGTAGCAGACTGCCAAGAGCCCAAAAGATCCGATATCACGGCCTGGTTGCGAGGCTCAACTGGTCGTTGAAGCTTGTGGCGTAGGTCAAAAGCTTTCTGGATTTGGGCAGCATTGGCGCCGGTGCCATAAAGTGCAAGTATATGATGAAGCATCTAGCAATATATAAGTGGTCTATCTTTGGATACTATTTTGATACGTACATGATCATGGAAGCCCCGTCTGTTCAGGAAAACATGATGGAGCTAAGCACTATGTGAGCAAGTCTGACTGTATACAATCTTGATCCGTCTTGGGGTTTGCCAACTTACTGCGAGGTCTTTTTCAAGCAATTCCGCTGTGCGCTGAGCAGCAAGCTCACCCTGTTCAATACCCCAAAGTCCTGTATTGTGAGGGGAGATTGCGATGTGAGTTGGTGTAGCTTCAGTAGACATTTCGAAGACGATGAGTTCTCAGGTTGGTGAATCTGATTTGGTTCTTTCTTTGTTAAACAAAGAGTCGCAGAATCATAGTCCGGCGGTATAAATCTAGAGGAAAAACAATATGAACAAAGGCAGGGGAAGGATGAAGCTTTTTGTACCCAAACCCTACATCCACGTCTTAGTAAATTAGGCTGAACTGTCGACTTTTTCGCAAAAGTTGGGGCATTCCCTGATCGCGTCAGCACTCTACCGCGTCTACTACTGGCCAGGACAGAGGCGACTACTCGGTATTAAACGCATATCGATAAGACAGCCCACGAGCTATTCCGAATCAAGTAGCATTTTTCGAGTATCACGTGCAAGGTGACGACAACTTCCGAAGCACAGCATGATTTTTGCATTACTAATTACTACTCAGCCTGTGCTCTACGTATTCAGCCCTGGTCATAATTTTACTACCCAGCGATCTGGTAACGCGTACGAAATAGGAACTTATCTGACATACCCACGTTCTGTAGTCTCAATCAGGAAGGGTATGGTCGATTATGGTCGGGATCGCCGGCAAATCGAAAGCATGTCATAATTGCAAGAAGCGTCGCGTCAAGTGCGATGCCGGACGCCCACGGTGTATGCGTTGTGACAAGGCAGGGCTGATTTGCCAAGGCTATACTAAAAGCGCCGCGGTTTTCGTCAATCGGACGACGAGGAATTTATCCATGACTGCCGGAGACGCCTTAGCTGCCGCCAAAGAATCCCGTGGCCACATCCCGTTCCATGGGGCTGTAGATGTGGCCGGGGAATATCAAGCAATGCTACACATGTTCGCGTTATCTTCCTACTCAACGGCCACCTTTCGTATCAAAGCGCTTCGGATCTCGCAAGTTCTCTATCTGCCACAAGTGGAAACTTGCAGCAGCCGTATAAACATATCAGCTGTGTCGTGGTTTGTATCCACGTGCCAGCTCGAGGATCCAAGTTTGATCCTTGACACCTCGCTTTTGGCATTCTCTGCCGCCCAACTGCACGCTACTGGTTATTGCAGTGTCAGCTTGGATAACGCGCTGCGGATTTACAGCGATGGGCTGGTGAAGCTTTCTACTGCACTGCAATACGTTGATCATAACAGCTCGATCAACGTACTTGCATCGATTGTCATTCTTTCGACTTGCGAGCTCTTTTTATGCCCTTCTGATATAGGATGGCGCGCCCACGTACAGGGTATGGCAGAGATTCTTCGACTTCACAATGTCCATCCGCACCACAATCATAGCTCTCAAGACTGGTCACTGCTATGTGCAAGGGCAAGAATGATTACGGTCCTGACAGATTTGATTAGTTATCGTATAGGAAGCCTGACGCCACAGCAATGGCGGGACATCCTGGCTAACCACACCGAGGGTGATGAGTTAAATGAAATTCTCGATATCGCACATGATCTTCCAGGAATTTTTGAATTAACGGAAACACCTTATCGAACAGTTACTGCCATGGCTGCTGTGCTCGAGCGAATGCGCAATTGGGAAAAGATTTTTCGACTACGAAGCGATCAACCACTATTTGTGTTTGTTCCCTCACGTATGCATAACCCAGCAGATAGCGGATACCCGTCTAAGCTTTTTCCGAATGTTCTCGAACTCCAGTCGTTAAAAGTCGCTCGATGCCTTCTCATTCTGTGGGGTGCAACAGTTCAAGCTCTTGATCTAATTATGTGTCAGTACCATGCAAACGAGGAGTTCAGCCGAGCGTGTGAATGCCATCGCAGGATTTGGAACTTTTTCGGCTGTGGTGGCACGAAAGACCAGACAGCCCTACAGCTCATGGTTATGGAGTCAAACAGATGCGCTTGGTTAATATGTCGGTGTGTTGAGTACTTGTACGGCAATGAGATGGGGCTGGTCGGTCATCAGTCAATGATCTATGCAAAGTGGGTTATCACGAAGCACTACCATCAATTGGGCATGTCACGAGAGCTGGCTTGGTGTCACAATATTTCGAGAATGTCAGGGCCTGGCGCAACTGGCAGGATCCAGGTAATGGAATTTCAATATTAACGAGATTGTATTATGCATGGGAGGAAAAGATAGGTGCCAGGCGCGAAGCTGCAAATCTTTTTGCAGTTCTTTTTCTCACTCCTGACTAAAAGTGTCATTAGAAAACCCTACGATGTTAGGCTCTTTAAACCACAATGCAGAGAGGGCCTTGGGGGTCATGCAACTATAACAAAGGACACATTTCCACATGCAGTAGACGCGTCGGTGTAGACTTGCTTGAAGCCCCAGCGTACCGGAGGGAGTGATAATCCTTATTCAAGAGTTTACTTTATCCCTACACCTAACATGCGGGTCACCTTTGACCTGAGAAGACATCTATATAAGACCCAATAGGTCTGGTGAAGTGATCAGTCGAGGGTTGTATGCATCACTTACACCTACTGTCTCATGCAAACCTGGAGGTGACGAACAAAGGGGCTATGAATTCGGAAAGGGAGCTCTTTGCACAATAGCATAGTAGCACAGGGTGTATGAGTGCTTCCCTGGCACTTCTCTAGTTTCTAATATGCCAAGATGGAATGTTGAGCTTCATGGAGGAGCTTTCATCTCAGTATCCTGTTCAACTACTTCACCATCATTATCTCCATCTTTTCCCGAGATTCTCATCCCCAAGAACACAATTATCAAAAGTCGTCCTCCTATTATTCCTTCCCTTCAAAGCACCTGTTCATTCCAACTAACTTATTTCATCCCCCCTCCCCTTTTCGGGGGCCAGGGCGAGATAGCTTCAATTTGAGTTTAATAGAATATGGAATTTAATTATTACACAGCGAACATAGCTTCAGATTTAATTATTTCTTAGATACTTATTAAAAAAGCTCCTGCTGTTCTGTCAGTGGTATTTTCTCCATTAAGGGTTCTAGAGCCGCCAATATCTGTTATATGTGTCTTATTTATCTTTTACTATAATAACCATATATAATCGAGTTAGGTATAATATAGCCCAAATAATAGATCATTTAGAGAGGAGTACAAGTCTATTCACTGCCATATTATATTAGCAACTCTTGGGATTCTGATATAGGCTCCTGGGACAGCAGGCTCAGGCTTATATCTCTACGAATAACCAAGTATCCCAGAGTATAAGGATTAATTAACGCCTCTGTCTTAACCTTATCCTCTTTGGAAATAAAGTTAAGGTTATTAATAAAAGCCTAAACCTAGATGTAGTTCTTTCTGCTTATTAATAGTAGATAGATTTAATCTTAGTATAAGCTTAAGTTAAAAAGATTCTTACTAATTAACCTTATTAAGTAAGGCGGATTTCTAGCTAATAACTTAAATAGCCTAATATTATAAAATATATTACTAATAAAAGGACTATCTTTAATATAGCTATTTGCCTCTAATCTATTACTGCTAAATAAGTATAAGATAGGAGATTTAGATAGTAACCTATTAGGTGCTAGATTATTAAGAGTCTAGTCTTAGTATAGTTATATACCTTTATATTTACATTCCTCGCAGAGCCTAGACTTAAATATCTAAATAAAATAGCAGTGCCAAGGAAGGAAAACCCTAATACCATAGACGCCGTAGATTATAACAGGGGGTCTACTACTTTTCTCTGCGAGTCCGTAGGCTTAGCTTTGTAAGTATGAAAAGATTTTAATAGATTTAGGCAGTACTTACGGGGAGGTGGATCAATAAGTGATGGTGCGCCTTGGCCACCTAATGCTTTCGTCAGCCAACCGTTCCGCAATGCGTATATCCTGGAGACAAATCTCGTGTTGCGTTGATGTGTAGGGCTACAAAGTCATCATACCGACTTTGAAGGGTATTAAAAGCGCCTTTCCGCTTAGAGGGGGCAACCTTTAGGCATTGTATGGCATCGAGGTAGGACTTTTGCTCATGTGAGCTGAGTGTACGCCTATAATGCGGTCATTACGCCAGAGATCTTCCTTAAATTGTCGAGAGACTTACCACTCCTTTCTCATACGTGGTTGAGAGCATCTTGATGAAGATTTCCCAAAGGCTGAGCAGGCAAGCATAGCTTCTGCGAAAATGGTCAGCTGGGTGATAAACTGGATAGAAAAAAGCATGATTGAAGGAATGGTAGAAAGCAGAACAGCTGCTAGATGTAGATGATGTAGTGAAGGAAATCTGGGATTTCGTAGCAGCCAATTCTTAATGTCCTAGAAACCCTCGTCTGAATTTGATTAAGTTCTAAACTTGGTTTGTCCGACCGGTGGGCCTAGGAGGATTTACCTACTATCATTACAACGCCCGGTGGGTTAATGGCATTATATATTGTTGCCTGAAAGAGTTCAAACAACGAGCTTCAAATTATACGAACATTCGGGTGAACTAGCGTAGTGTAGGTAAGTGGCTGTGGAAATTGGCGATTATGGGGCAGTCTGGTTTTATTTACCCTTCCTGCAATGCGATCAAGGATAATTTACATAGTTTGACATCTGGCCAAGTTGGATACTCTTGATAAGAGCAGGCTCTGGCAATAGTAGAAATAGAGAGCAGGGCAATAAGTTACATATATTTACAGCACCTCTTTCTGGTTATAGTTATAACATAGTAGTAAATAATACATTTTCAAATAAAGCTGGTTGCCTTTTGATACCTCAAGTGGTACGTAGTTAACACTTTCATATAAGAGCAATATGTTCTAAAGACATTACTAGCCTTTAGTCTCGTAAAGCGATAATGTTATTAAAAGCTAAAGGATCTGCTATGTAGAACACCTTCTTTATATCTGCATCTGGGTGTTAAAGTCTATAGTGACTATTGGGTCTTTATATCCCTCTGTTTACCTCAGCTTCCCGTGAACAGAGAACCAGGGGACTTGTAGTATAGTACAGGTGTGCAGAGTACGGATAGTGCGGAAAAAATTAGGCAAAGCAAGTGTTTTCAAGGATGATTCCCATGAGGAACTATGATCTAGTAGGGGTAGTGACTCGTTTAGTCTATTGGACCCGTGCTTTGTAAAAGTTCTCGGATCTGATCAACCCAGGTACAAACGCTTTCCTTATACGACGCCGCTGAAATTGCTCTCAGTTTATCAAGCCCGCAATGCCACTATGAAAATGCCGGGCATATGCGGGGTAAAGCTTAGCTGATTGTAGTTAGTTTTTCCACCTTGAGGTGGGTCTCTGAGCTAGCCTCTGACTGACCCTCAAATCGAGCATAACTGGCCGTGCATCTTGGAAGGTGCTCAACCAGCCGAATACCGCCTTGTTCGCTCTTCCACTTTTGACCTTCCACTCCTGGCTAGACCAATTGATAGTTATATGGCTCGTTCTTTAAAAAGGGGTGCTCAAACTACCAACACACCCCTCTCATTAATGATTATTAATCTTTTGTCGTAGCTTCAATACAGGACTTAAAGCATTACAAAAGCCGCTGTAACATAGCTAGAGGGTCTTTCCTGACAACTCGCTTGAAAGGCTGACGCTTAGGTAGGTTACGAGTAAATTTTACTTCTTTTACTGGAAAGAAACGCTTGATCACTTCAAAAGTTATTCCTAAAATTGAGATCAAACCTACCTCAGAGATAACACGTGTCTTTGGTTTAAGGTGGCTCCTACTAATATCCTTTCTGGCCATTAAGTAGGTGTAGTGTGAGAGTTATAGTGAAGCGCGGAGCGGACGCATTGTGTATTTCTTTTTTTTTTTTTTTTTTTTTTTTACTGTAATAACAGCTTACAATCACATGCTTCGTGAATCACCTATGCTATGCCTAGCGGCGAGGCGCTGCTCCAGGGATGTCCCCGGATATGCCTCCAGGCATCACACTTTCATACTTTACTGGCCTGTAAACAATACGTGCTAGTCAATGTCACATTGGTAGGCCATTACGTCCCATACAAGTCGGCATTTCCCCTAACCTGTAGCATCTAGATACAACGTGTATAAGATATTGAAGGTTCCCCTCCAATCCTCAGACAGGAAAAAGATGTTGACATTGAGAACAGAGACACCCAGAGATGGATGTTCTACAAGCCTTGCTGCAGACCGTGACTTATACAGGCTAGCTTGCTAGGTGATCAAAATAATGGTCCTTATCTTGGCAAATATGGACAGGTTTAACCTCTCCTACAGGGCCTATAGTCAAACAAGGTACATAACTTATTTCTTATTCTAGCGAAAATGGTCTCGTGTTTTGTGATGTGAAATAGTTATCGAGTGTGCCAGCAACATATGGGAAGAGAATTTTAATTTGGAAAACTAGATTTACTATAATACAAACTGCTCCGAGCTTAACAGGGCGTGAAATAGAGCACATAAATGTTGCAAGTATAAGGTAGAAAGTCTGGGTAGTACTCTTCTTTACCGAGGAAAGGTATGCAATTATCCCACGAGGTATTCAATTCATCGACGACACTAACGTGTCGAGGTTGAATTGAACGTTCTAGGGAGTCTCGTAGCTGATATGCGTCCCCCATCTGCTCGGCACTCGCGCCAGTTCCGTATAGAGCGAGTATACGATGTGACATCTGGGAAGAATGTTCAGCACATAGTGCAAGGGGGACTTCGGGACCGTGAATATACGTACGTGGTCATGGAAGCCAAGCTTGTTGAGAAATACATGATGTTCCTTGACCAACGTAAGATTTTGAATTAGAAGCAAGGTGATGACTTTTGTTTCACCCGTAGATCTCGTTGCGGGAGCTTACTTGCTTTGCGGGCCGCCTCATCATTCTGTGTGATCTTCCACAGGCCAGTGTTTCTGGTGGTTACCCAAATGTTGCTTGACGTGGCCATAATTGCTTGGAAACGTTGAGATGTACTGTTGTGAAAATATGCCGTGGTTTGGAGAATGGATGATGATGTCTCTGTCCTAGAGTCCCCCGGATATATGGCTTAACTCCAGAGAGAATACCGAGTTAAGTAGCCTGATGACCGTCATGTTACTTGAGCCAACAGGGGTGTGTATATAGAGAATTGATTTTCAGTAACTACAGCATAAACACGAATCAAGGTTCGTCCCAGCAGTCGGTGTGGTCCTGGTCCCTTTGCAAGATGGAAGATGTAAGGGGCCGGGGTTCCTTAATTGACCTGCACTAGCCCAATGTCGGTAAGTTTATCCTACGATTAGGTGGAGTGTTCTGCTGGCTTCGATTCTGTGGGACCTGTCTCAAATAGGTAGTACAAATTACGTGGCACTTGGCAACCCAAGCCCATTAATGTTGGTGATATTTTGGAACCCAACAATCGAATGTTGCAAAACCCTGCGACAGGGCAGGCAAAAACTCTCCTGTGGGAAATGCCTATAAACAGGACGGGACAGGTCAGAGCATCTACCTCATACTACCTACAAGCCAGGATGTTGGAGGCTCAAGTCTGCGCGACCGGCGCAGTATCCCTTCACCATGTCCCGCGTCCCTCTCTGGGGCCTGGAGAGATCATCATTAACGTGGTGACAGCTGGTAAAAGATCCGATATCTGATATGGCGAGCGATAAAGTCCTGACAGATAATTACGTCATTTGCGGGAACGAACCCCAAGGACTGGAAGTTCCCGGCGTGGACCGGAGAAACACATAACTCGGGAGATGACATATCAGGCAGGCATCCTCGAGCAAGTCGGTGTCAATGCATCAGTCCTAAAGCAGGGTGATGGAGTAGCGGGATTGCTCCAGATCGGGAGCCGACACGGAGCTTTTGCCGAGTACGCCATCTCGCCTGCAAACACAACTTTCCAGATACCAACACACATGACCTTCGAGGAAGCCGCAACGATTCCTTCGACGGCCCACATGGCTTCTCTTTGCTTATTTGATACCCTTGAGCTACCAGACCCGTGGCAAGCAAGCGCAGAGTCAAATGGAGTCACTCCCCCTAATATTTTTAAGGAACATCAACGGCGGTCGGAGCGTTTGCAGTCAAAATGGCTACTTTCACTAACGTCCACCCCATAATTACCGTCGGAAGTACAACCAGCTCATTCCTGCAGCCTCTCTCTATTCAAGCCGCAGGTGGGTGACCCGTTAAATGCCGTAGTCTTTCTTGTAGCACACTTGATATGTGTCTTGGTTCCGACCCTGGCTTGATTAAGGTTTTACCCTGGTTATACTATGCCCACTTGAAACTGGTATAAGACAAGAAATTACCATATGACTGGTTTCCAATACGGGACCCTTGTATCATTAGAATAACTTTTCACGCACTTCCGTTGGTGTGTACGCGGTTCGGCATGTTTACTGATCCGCGAGACCTCGGCACCGCTCAGTTGTTCTATAGCGAAAATGCATGAGGCAGCTGGATTTTGGTGACTACAACCCTAGACCGCTGCCCCTTACAGCCGAAACAGCTGTTTATATAAGTTGTGCTACCGGCCGGTATTCCATAGGTAGATGTGCAGGCATCTGATCAAGGAACGGAACATATTGTTGCGCTATCTTGCCATGACAAGTTGCCTGTCCATAATGGAGAATGCACCTGAACCCACACATGAGACTAAGTTGCGCCAACAGTCAGAAGAGATCAAAATGGATGCTGAGAACACCAAAGCATTTTTCCGTGGAAAGCTTGCTCTGAGGTCCCCGAGACGAGCTAGTATCGCCGTGATTGGTGCAGGAGCTAGCGCCTTGTCCTTTGCGAGGGAGGTCGAGGAGGGCCGTCTAAGCAACATCGAGATGATAATCTTTGAGAAGAATGCAGGAGTGGGGGGTACTTGGTGGGAAAACCGGTGAGAGAGGCTTCAGCTACTGTGACGACTTTGCGACGGGACTGATGATAGTTTAGATACCCTGGATGCGCCTGCGATATACCTTCGGTACGCTTATAGCGCAAAGTTCCAAGTCTCCGTACATAAAAGCCTAACCTACCCTTAGCACAACTACCAGTATACATGGGCACCGAATCCCAACTGGTCGCAATAGTAAGTGTGAAAAGGAAATGAGTGATATTGAAAGCTGACATATACGGATCAAGCTACTCTGGATCCACAGAAATACGTCACTATTTTGAGAGAGTCGTTGAAAAATATGGATTGAATAAGTATATCAAGTTAAGACATGAAGTAATTGAGTCGAAGTGGTTAGAGCAGCAACGACAGTGGAGCATCACCGTCAAGACAAACTCAACTGATACTATAACAGTTGTTGTCGATTTTCTCATCAATGGTGGCGGAATTGTCAAGTGAGTTATCCGATGGTATCGATGTGCAATAGCTGAGCAATGTGAGCCATGTAGCAAATGGAAATGGCCAAATATACCCGGGCTATCTTCTTATAAGGGGACCATTATGCACTCGGCACATTGGGATGAGAAGCGTGACGTGAACGACAAGAGCGTGGTTGTCATCGGCAACGGCTCTAGCGGTGTACAGATCACGGCATCCCTTGCCAAGGGTGAGTATTGCCCCATCGGTGAAGCCAGGAGCCGGACTATGTGTGTAGTTGATTAACAGCAGGCAGTTGTTCGAACCATGACCGTTGTCATGCGCTCTCCAACTTGGATAACGCCTGGATTTGCATCCTCGTTTGCTGGCCCTGGTGGGACTAATTTCCAATGTAGGCCAGCTTCATATACCTTGGATCATGTACTTGTCTCCAATACTGACATGATTTAGACTCTGAAATACAGAAAGAGGAATTCAGGAGAAACCCTGAGAAATATCTGGCCTACCGAAAGAGCATTGAGGAAGAGCTTAACAAGAGGCAAAACTTCTTCATCAAGGGATCCCTAGAGCAAGTCCTAGCCAAGCGTTTCTCGCAAGAAATGATGAATAATGGTCTTGCAACAAAGCCTGAGCTTGCCAAGAAAATGATACCTTCGTTTGATGTTGGATGCAGACGGTAAGATTATCTCAAAAGCTTCGATAAAATGACTCTAGTACTGACTCGTACTCGACTAGGCCAACGCCTGGCATTGGCTACCTGGAAGCCCTTTCCCAGAAGAATGTGGATGTTTCATGGGGAACGCCTCAGCGTCTGACTCAGTCATCTATTGTCCTGCACGATGGCACAGAGATTCGGCCCGACGCTATTATCTGCGCAACCGGATTCGATATTTCATACAAGCCCCGGTTCCCTATTATCGGACGAAATGGACTGAGGCTCGACGAGTACTGGTCTCCAGACGCGAAGGCCTACATGAGCTTCGCCGTCCCTAACTTCCCTAATTACCTTCGTATGGCCCCTAAAACATGAGATGACATGATATTTCTGCTCAGAAGAACCCCTTGCTAATCCTGCAAGTTCAGACTACTTAGGCCCTGCAACTGCAGCCTCGCACGGCTCCCTTATACCAGTGATTGAGCAATTGACAAATTACTTTGTCAAAATTATTGACAAGACCCAAAGAGAGGGCTATTCCAGCTTTGAGCCACGCCAAGAATGTGTACAAGATCTTGACCGGCACCATCAAGAATACCTACAACACACGGTTTGGTCGTCAGATTGCGCGTCCACGTTCAAGAACGGTACCAAAGACGGCAGGATCAATCTTCTGCACGGCGGAAGTCGCCTTCACTATCTGGAAATGCTAAGAAATCCGAGGTGGGAGGACTATGTGTGGACTTTGCTGCCTGGCGTAAGGCTTTACGATTTCTTTGGCAATGGGAGATCTTTGAGCCAGGATGAGGGAGGAGATTTGACCTGGTATCTTGAAAATCCCTCGATGGCTCATCTGTAGGCTGCCTGCTTCGGGCACAAGTTCAGCAACGGAGAAGCCTTTCACTTCTGACAAGTGAAATCAGTCCTTTGAAAGTTCTTTCGCTTTAACGACGTTATCAGCCTTTGTGGTTACTAGGAAGTTATAATCGAGGCTATGTTTTATGAAGTTCAACATACTAGATTAAAAGTACAAACCAAGTATAGTTAGTACTTTATTCTACGTATTGGAAAGAAGTCGTGCATGACTGGATAAATGAATCTTTAAAACGTTGCTTTGTAATAAAAGATGATTAAACGGATTCAAAATAAGATACATTAGGTGATATTAGCTAGCTTCCAAGTGTTGTTTCTGAGCAGTCATCATAGCATTCCACACCTCCCATCCCCCTTTTCCATAAAGGATCTTCGAAGTTCCAATGAATGTTTCCTTCCTGATCAAGCCACAAAATACGGTCTTCGTCCTCGACGTTGCCCCAATTAACCTCTTCACCATGCAAAAGTTTTCCAAAAGGTTCAAGGAACGTTTTCGCTTTCTCCTTATCTGACTCACTAAAATCCTGACGCCAACCCGAAGCATCCAGTTCTGCATGTCAGCAGAATAGCAAACCCCAACTTCTTTTCTCAACCAAGCATCCAGCCCCTTTGCCCGCCAAGGAATACGATAGCGATGTACTCTCCCGGGCGGCATAGTCTTGGTGCCATCGACTTTCGGTGGATTGAGGAGCAAGTGGGCGAACCCTCTGTGTGACGCAGGTACTTGAGCATCGGCAACAATTGGAGCGTAAAGCTCGGCGTACGTTCCCGGCTTATCATCCTTGGATCCAGGCTTAGGCACATCATAAAGCGGAAACAAAGCATCACAAACTGGCCTGGGGTAGTAGTTTTCGAGCTGCATATGCAAGGATGATAGGGAGTCCGGCGAGTTGACGAGCTTGTACAATTCCTTCTCATCTGGAACATCGCCCATCAGGATTCCTACTCCATTCTCGGATAATTTAGTGGTATAGGCTCCTGAGTATAGTGAAGACAAGAAGTTGGCAGAAATGAAATCATTGTCTATAGTGGCGCGGAAGGTATGTTGTTTGAGTTTCGGAATGGCATCGATAAGATCTTTAAAAAGGGATCTGGCGGAGCTTAGACTCCTGCTTTGAAGGGTCTTCTGTATGAGAAACTCCGAAAAGTGAGCAAAGTTCAGGGCTAAGATAGGTTAGTATTAACTATCTAAGCGTATCTGCCCGGGAGGTTTCTTCTAACTAAAGATATAGCTAAAAAGAGAGAAAAGAGAGGAGATTTTCTAAATAGCTAAGGAAAAAGAGAAATAAAGAAGTAAGATATAGGGACCTATAAGGAAAATAGCTAGAAAAGAAAGATATAAGAGAAATAGCTAGGAAAGAAATATAAGAGATATAGCTAGCAAAGGAAAAAGAGATAAGAGATAAGAGATAAAGTTATAAAAGGAAATAAAAAGAAATATAAAAAGATAATAGAGATAGTAAATAAAAGAAAAATATAAAGGCATTATCCTTCTAGGAAGGCCTTCTAGAGGTATTCCAGATCAACCTAGTAAGGCTATTAGGGGAATCTTATGCTTAGTTTAGGCCAAACTACTAATTCGAGGCCAGAGGCATAGACTAATAAAATTATACTCTAAAAGTCTCTAAACACCCCACCCTATAGTAACTTAATCTACTTAATAGAAATAAGTTTACTTATATAGAATTTAATTAAATAAAGGTTAATAATAATAAAAAGTATATGATTTCAAAGTCTTTATTTTTCTCTTTAATATTTTATATATTATCTTTAGTTATAAATATAAGTATTAATTTATTAGGGAAGTAAATTAATTAAATAATTAATTTAATTTAATATAATTACCACCTATATTAACTTAATATATTTAATTTACTTTACTTTATTAATATTATTATTTTTTAAGAGGTTTAATTAAGGAAATATTTTTTTAATATTTAGCTTTAATTACTTTTATATATATTTAATTAAGTTTAAATTAAAACTATAAGTAGGCTAATTAATTTAAGATATATTATGTTCTAATAGCTAGTTTATTATAAACTCTAATATATAAGTATAAGGATTATTATATTAAAATTAATAAAATCCTTTATATATAAGAAGTAAATATTTTATTAAAGCCTATTAATAACTTAAATAAGTATATTTCTTTTTTAATAGTTTAATTATAAAATATAATAATAATATTAGATTTTTCTTCTTTTTAAATTATAATTAATAATTAAGACTTTTTATATAACGTGGTTGATAAGCATGCTGACCGGACAAGTATGCTGACCAAAAATCCCTCATCTTACATCATTACTATCTGATCAAATACTATACAACAACCCAGTATGCCACAATCTTCAAATGAAGCTAGAATCCTTCTTGCCCTTCAGGCCCTTCAAAATAACCCAAAGCTAGGAATCCGACGCGCTGCAAG